TTTGAGTAAGGTATATTTCTACTTCTAAAATTGAAATTATATGTATTAGGCATCCATGGACTAGAATGACTAATTGTCTCATATAAAATAGCTAATCTATACAATAGAAGGATTGATAGATTCAATGTGGAAATGAAAGTATTAGTTTGCCAAGTATGGAGGTAGTGTGGCTTATAAGCTATATTTTGGGTCTTAATAAGTACTTTAAGTGGTAAAAGGCATGGTAAAATGATTAAATAAAATAGAAATTTTAATTGCTTACACCATATTGTAAATCACCCTTTCTATTCTAAATAGATCATAAATTTAGCTTCTTTGTTATCATGGAAACCTTTACTCATTGAATAAGTTGTATTATTATATTTTGGTCTTTTCTTTGTGCTATCTTACATTTCTTAGCTCTATTTATAAAGTTATATTCAATATTCCATAGTTCTTTATTAGAACTATATCACACCCTTTATGATCCTATTTATGTTCCACCACCACCCAAGGTCATTGCTGACAAATTGAAATTTGAGGTTACTACCATCTTTGACTTCAAATACTAGTATTACAAACTTTATTATTTATTTAATTACTTTGGGTATTCTCCTAGTGATTGTACTTGGGAGTCTACTTTTCATCTTACTTATGCTTTTGAGTTCATTAAACTTTTATCAACAATATTTATATAATTTCAATTGACATGATTCTATAAGTAACCAAAGAGAACGACTTGAAAGACGATCCATAGTTATTCAAATATAAAGGGAAAGAGCCCATGAACAAGAGTGCACCCCCTTTTCCAATCGGTTAAGGGTCTTGAGATATTTGGGGTTAAGTGTCCTTGGGTTTAAATAATATTGGGCTGGGTGACTTCCCGATAAGTCCAAACTCAGGATATTACAGATTCTTGACATAAAAGGGAGAGATAATGTTATATATATATAGCATCTTTTTATATTTGTTAGGCTGTATTTGCCATTATTATTTATAATGGGATTCATGCCTGGGTTTTGAATTCAATTAGGTTTCTGGATTAATTTGAGGTTAGACCTATAAAAGTAGTGTTACATTTAGAGTGTTCAATACAATCCATTGTTTTTATTTAATATTTTATTAATAATTTTGTCATCTTCCCTTCTCTTAATAAGGAGCTCATAACAAATGGATATTAAAAATTTTATTACAATTTGGAGTTAAAACTAAGGAATTAAATATATTTTATTATATTGTTTTAGTATTTTAATATTCTGAAAAGTAGTATAGATTAATATAGCTTAGATTTTTTTTATTCTTAATTTAATTTTTACCATTCTTCTAGTTAACAAAATAGGAAAGTTCATATAAAAGATAACTACACATGTGAGGTGCAAGTGTACGGCTATGATGCTGTATACTAATATTAGTATAGTAGGATTTTGGTAGCCGTCGGATTGGTTTCAATTTGGACCACTTGCTCCTATATATAAACTAGGGTTTTTGGGCTAATTAATATGCACATTTTCTGTCTTTCCTTTCTATATTCCAAGCACTCACATTGGTGAAGGTGAGGGGCATCTTTTGATTGTCTTTGAGAAGTGCTTAGATTTGGGATTTTGCTTTAAATCTAGCTTTTACATCATCTAAATCTAGCTTTTTTCATTTCCTTTTTTTTGTTCTTTCCTTTCAGGAGTTTGGTTTTGATCTACTATTTGCATTATCTAGATCTCCCTTTCCTTCTAGTTTTTTATCATTTCTCTTCTTTTGCTCTTTCCTTTTCATTCATCTTCATGGCAGATTAACAATCTCCTCCTTTGATTTTGGAGCAGCAGTTGGTACAATTGCTTAATACTATGCGCTTGCAATTAAACAACCAAACTCAGTTGATGGAGGCATTCATGACATATGGTCCAACTTTTCTTGCTCTTGGTGCCAATCCTTGCGTTCGGCTAAAATTCTTTCGTAGGAATCCTGGGGATGATGTGTACCATTGGTTTAATCACTTCATGGTGATTGCCACATATAATTCTTGGGATAATGCTTGATGTTTGCGTGAGTTTCCCACGTGTCTCCAAGGGATGGCGCTGTAGTGGTACAATGGTTTGAGTGCAGCCACTTGTGAGTTCATCAAGGGCCAACTGAGTTGGTGATGCAATTTGGCGTTCATTTTCGAAGCTTTTTGCTTTGTGCGGAGCCAAAGATGTCAGAGTAGATCAAGCTAAGAATGTTGTGGCTAGCACTTCGTTAATATCTTGTTGGACTTATGCATGCACTTGCTTTAGCCACCCTTGATGATGCTCTGCGCTTGGCACAACGTTATGAGATGTCACCTTTTCTACTTCTCGCTACACGTCCTTCTACTCCACTTTCTGTGGGCGATGGTCCTATTCCAATGGAGGTTGATGCTGCTGCTACTCGAGTCCAAGGACAAGGATGAGGACGTGGTCGTGGCCATGATGTTTGCTGTTGGGCATATGATGAAGTTGGTCACACTTATCGATGTTGTCAGCATTTTCCGGATTGGCAACCTCCATTTCCTAGGTGGAGACTTTGGCGTCAACAACGTCTTGTTGGTGTTGCTACAATGGAAGGTCTAGACACCAAGATGCATCCGGGAAACGAGGAGTCGTGTGAGTAACAGAGGGACCTTGCGTGAATAAGTTAATGACTCTTTCATCTTTCTTTCGGGAGTATCACCAAAGGGTTCATTCGGCACTAGTTCATGCAGTGTTTACTTTCTAAGCTCGTTTTTATAACAAGAGGTCTTTTATTATTCTTTCTGTGTTGGTTGATACAAGTTCAAGTTTATCTTCTATTGCTCGACCTGTTACCACACATTGCTATCTACACTTGTGTTATGTGGCAAAACTAGTTTTCATTTTTTATGTCAATGGCCGTATACATGCATGTGCACGGGATGAGGTGGACCTGGTTGTGTCTGTGGCGATCTCGAGCTTGGGTTGTAGTCATTGCAGGTGGTGCCGAGTCAAACTTTTAACCTCATCCTTGGTATGGATTGGTTGCAGCATAATCATGCTAAGTGTGATATTGAGGTTTCTCCCCCTTGTTTTGTACTTCTTTACATTTCAACCATATCAGGTGTTGCAGCAAGTTGGACCGCAAGTTTATGAGGTTCGGCATGATGTTCAGTAGGCTGATCCTCTAGAGATTGTGCATGTGTAGCGATTGAAACACTTCATACCAAGGGATCAGGAGTAGTTAATACCACCTACAGATCCGCCGATGCCTCCTCTTGACGTTCCTTCTGATCCCGACCCATCTACAAGAGAACCTTAATGGTCTTCCATTATTCTGAGAGGAGGGGATGATGTGAGGTCCAAATGTACAACTATGATACCATATATTAATATTAGCGTAATAGGATTTTGGTAGCCGTCAAATTGATTTTAATCCAGACCACTCGCTCCTGTATATAAGCTAGGGTTTTTCGGTTAATTGATATGCACATTTTTTGTATTCCCTTTCCATATTCCAAGCACTCACACACATATAAAATAAATAGAGTTTAATTTAACTTAGGAATTTCTTTATTATCATATACACAACTCTATGCTATTAGTAATTACAAATGGAGGTTTGCTATATATCAAAGTATTTCTTTAAAATAAAATTTAAATAATAAATTATAGTAAATTAATAATAAAAATCTCTATATAGTAACTATTTCTTTATAAGAAAAACTGAAATATGTTAAGCTGTAATTCTTTTATATTTACTTTGATAATTAGTGCTTCATTCTATAATTTATGTATTAGTTGGGAAACCAAGTTTTGGAATGAAAAAAAACTTGATGTTTCTGATGTGATTAAAATTATTAACTGTTTTAATATACTTATTGCACAAATTGCAAATGAGCCATATCCTGTTAATTGGTTTAATGTAATTTATTTACCACTTTCTATTGGTACCGCTGTTGTTAGAATAGGGCATTTTTATCATCAAGAGCCATTTTGTGGAAAAAGTAAAATTAAAGGAGAACTGAGAGGATTAACAATGAAACAACAACTTGAAAAAATTGTTTTCAAATATGAACAACTTATTATTACTAAATGTGCGGAGTATATTTTAATAAAGGCAACAAATTATGCAATATCATACAGCTTAGATGGTGATTCTGAAGCTGATCCAGATTATTATCCATTGATATTATTTCATTTTAGAAGTATTAGAACTGATTATTGTGATTTTACAAAAAATGTTCTTATAAGTGCTTCAAGTGGCAGACCGTATCAAAGCCTTCAAAGCACAGAGTTTCTATTATCACCAAATAAAAATGTTATTTTATACTTAAATTCAAATTGCAACCTTATTTTGTTCTTTAGAAGAAGTATTATATGGCAGACTGGGAAATTTATTCATGATGTATTATTATGTACACTTGAATTGCAAAATGACGGTAACCTTGTTGTTTATGGTTTTACAAAAGTTTTAAATGTAGTAAAAAAGTTTGCAGTATGGTCTATTGATAAATATTGTAAAAAGAGTAATTGCTTAATTGCTTCAACCTTAATTGTTCAAAATGATTGTAATCTTGTTATTTATTATGCAATATCACCAAATAAAGTGCATTGGGCATTACATACTAAAATATATCCATCTTGTGTGTAAATTTAATTCTATATACTTATTGGTGATAACTTGCTATTTAATTATTCTAAAGTTTTATATATTTAGCATTAAATTTGAATTATATTTTAGCTAATTCAAACCAATCACTGTTTTCAAAATCAAGTCTTAAATCAAAACTATTCATGCATTTTCTTGTATCAATTTTATGGCTCTTCCATCACTTGGACAAGTGTCACACATGCAATTGGTGTGTATGCCAACTAGAGATACTGTGCTGTCTATTGGAGAAAATTTCCAGTTTTCACATTTACTCTATATTGCGGCCAGTATATAGACTCCACCCCGACGTCGAAGCGCTGTTCTCCCTGTATTGTATCGGGTTTCCTTGCTCAGAAGAGATTTGCAAAGATGGCTCTGGTCGCAAACGGCAGCAGCATACAGTTGCTCTCCTCCTCTGTGTCATCCACAACAAAGAATTTCAAGGCAGTGGCACTGAGGAGTAATGTGAGGGGTGTGTCAACAAGGAGGCAATTGAGGAGCGTTAGGATGGAGAGCGTTCCCACAGGACTGGGAGGCACTGAAGTGCCATTGGGAGGGATAACCGGCAGTGTACCATTGGAGCAGGATCCACAAGCTCCAGTCGGGAAGAGAATTGCTTACATCTGTCAAGACTGTGGGTATGTCTACGACCAGGAGACGCTATTCCAAGATCAGCCAGATAGCTACAATTGCCCAGGTACAAATTCACCCCAAAAAAAAAGTTTTTTATATTATTTCCAGCATTTTTCTTAATTTGTTTGTTTTGTGCGTCCAGTTTGCTCCGCACCCAAGAACAGATTCAAGCAGGAGAACGCTTTCGTCGAGGACGTTCTTGATGTCACCAAGGAAGACAATTGAGCTAGTGTATAGATCCACTTATAAAGAATAGAATTTGTATGAGTTTCTCTATCCCTTGGCCACTGGCCTTGTGTTGAGCAAGCTAGACAGCAGCACATACTGCGACGCCGCCCTCTTGTCACTCTCAAACGCCTTCTCCGCAGCAATGGCGCCGCGCTCTCCGGACGAATGCGTCCTACAAGCGCTGAGCAGCGTCAGCCAGGCCACGCTATCCGGAAGAAACGGCATCGTCCGGATCAAACTCTCGGCCTCGGCAACTTTCCCGGATCGCCCAAGTCCGTCCACCATCGATCGATAGTGCTCCACCGCCGGAGCCAATCCATGGTCGCCTTGCATGCTCAGGAAATACTCCCGGCTCCTCTCGAGCAGCCCAAGATGCCCGCACGCCAGGAGCACGCTCAGGCACGTCCTGGTTTGCGGAGCCACCGCGTTTAAGATCATCTCGTGGAAGAGCTCGAGCGCCACTCTCCCCTGGCCGTGCTGCGCGAATCCTTGCACCACCGAGTTCCACGACACCACGTCGCGCTCCGGCAAGCCACCGAAGAGTTTCATCGCTGGCGCAAGAAGTCCGTTCTGCGTGAAAGCCGCGACTATCGCATTCCACGAGATCAAGTCCCACTCCGGGATCTTCCGGAAGGTCACCATCGCCCTGTGTGGCTCGCCGCTGTGCGCGTACGCCGCAATCATGGCCGTCCATGGCAGTACATCCCAGCACGGCATCGCCTCGAAGATCGATCCAGCGGCGTCTACGTGTCCGGAGAGTGTGTAGGCCTCGAGCATTGCAGTCCAGGACACCACGTCCCTCTCGGGCATCGTGTCAAACACCGACTTTGCCTCCTCGGCCTGTCCGGATTGTCCATAGGCCGACACCATCGCGTTGAAGCTCACGGTGTTATACTCGGGCATCGCCAGGAAGAGCTCGGTGGCCTCGTCCAGCCGGTGGCACAGGACGCACGCTTGGATCATCGCGGTCCAGGAGACGACGTCGTGTTCTTGCATGGCGGAGAAGATCTCTCGAGCGTTTTTGAGATCGCCACCTTGGCCGTAGGCCGCCAGCATCGAGTTCCAGGAGAAGGCGTTGAGCTCCGGGGTGGCGTCGAAGACGAGCTTGGCTTGCTGGAGATTGCCGCTCTGCGCGTAGGCGGCGATCATGGCGTTGTAGGACGGGAGGTCGTGCTCGGGCATGGCGTCGAAGCCTCGCCTGGCTTGCTGAAGCCGGCCGTTTCGAGCGTAGGCTGTGAAGAGGATGTTCCACGAGAAGAGGTTTGGGACGTCGATGGTGGCGAAGACGCTGGACGCGCTCTCGAGGTTGCCGCATTTGCCATACATCTCCACGAGAAGGTTGGCGAGGTATCTGTTTTGCCAGAACTGGCTCGCCAGCACCGAGGCGTGGATTTCCTTCGCGAGTGTCAGATCTCGGGAGTCACCACAAGCTCGTATCCGTGAGGCGAAGTCCTTGATCGCCCCTGATGAGTCCTCTTGGGTTTCTTCGATCGAAATGGCTGGTTCTTGTGAAGAGAACAATCCTTCGTCCTTTTTTCTTTCCTCTTCTCGTCGAGTAGGAAGAACTCCATCCTCGAGAAGTTTATCTGTAGCTTCCTGGTGGTGAGCTTTTGGAGACTCCGAAGAGATCGAGTCTGATATCTCCGACTTCTGGAAGATCCCCATGTTGGCGAGCTGGACGTAGCTCGAGCTTGCTTCCGGATCCAGCTTCACCACTTTCTTCGCTGCCCGTGCCGCGCGATCGACATCGTTGTGGAGTCTACACGCTGCCAAGAGTGTTGTCCACGAGAGAGCCTCCGCAGGGAAAGGCATGCTCTCCACCAAGTCCTCCGCCTCTTGGAGCTTCCCTCCACGTCCGAAAACGTCTATCATGCCGTGGTAATGATCGATCGTCGGCTGTAAGCATCGGTCTTCCTGGAACTCCACGAAGAACTTACAGCCCTTTGGAACCTCTCCCGCGTGACTGCAAGCAGTGAGAATGCTCGTAAAAGTGATAGAGAACGTCGCTTCGTCTGGTACCACCCCTTCCAAGTCCATCTCCTGGAAGAGCTTGAGTGCCTGGTCGAGATGCCCGTTCAAGGCATACCCCTGTATCATCGCAGTCCACGTCACCCCGTCACGCTCGACCATCTCCTCAAACAGCAGCACAGCGTTCTCTAAGTCTCCAATCCGTCCATACCCCGAAATCATCGTGTTCCAAGACACCAAGCTCCGTTTCTCCATCTTCTCGAACACTTCCCTTGCTTGCTTCATGTGTCCGTTCGTCACAAACCCAGCTAGCATGGCATTCCAAGCCACGACATCCCTGTCCGGCATTTTGCTAAAGAGCTCTTCCGCTTCCCTGAGATGCCCAGCCTGAGCATAAGCGACGACCATAGCAGTCCACGAGATCACGTCCGGCTTTGGCATGTTGTCGAAGAACTCTCGAGCTTCCAGCAGCTGACCCCTTTGGGCATACGCTTGCATCATCACAGTCCATGAAACAGCATCCCGCTCGGTCATCTTGTCGAACAGAACTTTAGCTTCTTCCAGGTCTCCTCTTTGGATATAAGCCTGGATCATCGCGTTCCAAGACACGATACTCTTTCGCGGCATCATTTCGAAGATACTCCTGGCTGCTTGCATATGACCCTTCTGGGCATAAGCCGACGTCATTGCATTCCACGACACGGAGTCTCGTTCCGGCATCTTGTCGAAAACTCTTCTTGCCTCGTCGAGGCGGCCATGGCGGACGTATGCAGCGAGCAGTATGTTCCACGAGAAGACGTTGGGCTCGCGAATGCTGTGGAAAACTTCGCGAGCAACCTCGAGGTTGCCACACTTGCTATACATCTCGATCAAAAGGTTAGACAAGTAGATGTTGTGCTTGAACCTGCTCTGGAGGATTGCCGAATGGATCCGCTGGCCTTCGGACAATGTCTTGCAAGCCTTGAGGCTTTTGCCATAGTGCGCTGGTCCGGGCTCGCTGTGATCCCTTGCTTGCTGGTAACTCTTCACATCCTCCTTGAGAGCTGTTTGCTGCTGTGTAAGTATCTCCATTCCAGCAAACAACGTTGTAGAACATAACTCGAGCTGAAGAACACACAAATGCTTTTTCGCTAAAGAAGAAAAACTCGACTGTTAATTTCTTACTCTGCGCGCACGAATTTCGTGTATCGTCCAGATTCTAGTTCGCCAGGATCAACTCCGTGGCAACGTAGTGTCTTGGCTAGTTAATAAGATTTCGGACCTCTGGGATTGTGATTCCTGTGAAGCACACGTTGAGCTATATAGTGTCAGTGAAGTTTTTGACTTACTCCAGTATGATGTTGTTCGGGTTGATTCTCTTTGCGAAGTTCACCACTGAACGGGCAACCTTGGTCGAATGGATTGTCTGGAGTAGGATCGTAAAGCCTTCTCAACGCACGCTTGGTAGCAGTCACATCTAGTTGCTGTTCTAGATCGTCACCAGTTTGCTGAGATTCCACATCAGCGTCCAGTTCATCTTTTAGTTCTTGAAAATACTCGGATTGCCAGTAGTCGTTCGACAGATTCTGTTTCAGGGTTGCCGAAATTCACAAATACATGGAAGAACACACAAGAAACTCACGTACCATTTGCATCATTTTCAAAACTTCGCCGACGGCACGCTTGAACAGGTCTGGGTCAGCCAAATCAGTCGTATTGATAATGTCTAAACGCATTTGATGGGATATATTGATCTCCATTGGCGCACCTGGAGCAACTTAAAGAGTTTGGCAAAGCATTTCTCACTGAACAATGGCCAACCTGACTTGATGTACTTGTCAATGATGTGTTCTGCCATGTAAATTCTCTGCACAACTTGATGCTGCTGCTGGAGTTTGTTGAGCTCTCGAACCTCACTGTAAAAATGCACGACCTCACCGGCCATTCGACTGAAATATGCACAGATAGCGTTAACAGCTCGAACTTGACGATGCGTCAGAATTTACCTGTCGGCAAAAGCCAAATATGACTGTCGAAACCTTCTATGCTCAAGCAACAGCTCCAGCGGCCTGTTAAAATTGAAGGCTATCAACGGTTGAGATATGGCTCCACTGACTGGAACTCCAAGCGCTTGCCCCATGGTTGAATACCGGTGGTTACTCCTACGGCCGTGAAATAGATCGTGAACGGGTTTTGCGATAGGAATCCAAAACAGGAAAAGAACGCCAACGCTGACCTGTGCAGACACAACGTTTTAGAATTCACTGAGTCAAGAAAAAATGTATTTACGTACCAAAACGGCCACAATAAACCGAGTAGTGACTACGACTTTTGAATCAAGCTGGGCTGCAACAAACATTCCGGCCCAGACAACTGCAGAGAAGGGCATTAAGAAGGGCTGAACAGACTGAGCGAAATGTCAGATTACCAAGCATTAAGGCGCAGATGGAAGCTGCTTTGAGAAGCTCCTTGAACTCGTCAAACTCAAATCTTATGTGCCGCACCTTCCAAGTTGCGAGCAGGAGAATAGCAGGATAGAGAGCATAAAGCGATCCCACTGCGAGCTCCCAACGTATGTTAAACTGGCAGGTCGGTGATCGCTTATCGTGATCACTCACTGCCTGTATAACTGATCATCGACAAGAACGTGTCTATAAGAGCCTGCCTCACACCACGTTAATTCTTACCTGCGGCTACAGCAAACCATGGACTAACAAGTAGCGGAAGAAGCTGATAATACTTCAAAGGTGGTAAGCGCCTTCTGCACAACAGGAAATGTAGAAGTGATGGAAGGGAACAACAGAAGAAAAAGCTAAAAACTTACGCAATAAAGACGTAGTGAAGCCTATATGCCTGTACAATATGACAGCTTAAAAGGATTCCAAATCCAAATGGTCCCTTCAGCCAAACTATAATCCACAGTTAGCCAGTGAAAGAACAAAAGCGATTTTGCTTACGCATGAGATCACAATTTTGCCATAGATGGCGTCGAGATAGCCTCAAATAGTTCAAAGACATCTTGAGAATTTGGAACACGTGAGACAGCAAAACTCTAGAAAACCTGTGAGCTTACCAGAGAAGACACAAGATATATCAAGCTCGCGAATGCTTGGACGAGCAAAACCGACACCTTCTTGGCGTTGAGCTCCAATTGCCGTCGCTTGATACTTACAAAACAAATGCCAATGCAAACTCTAGAAGAGGAACAAAAAAAATCACGTTTACCGTTGCAAAGATGAAAGGAACCAAAAAAATCTTACAGGAAAATTACAAAGAATGTGATGCCAGCAGCAACGTAGTCCGAGACACAGCCCCCCACTGTCCTACAGTTCGTCATTTTACTTGCAAGATCGTGGACCCCAAATCTGAAGCTCAAGCGCAAATTCCTGGCCAAAAGACGATTGCTCCTCCATCGCTAGTGCTCGGCATTAGCATTTCTAGCTTGCATTTCTGACCAAAATCCACGCTTCTCCCGGCGAGAAGAGTAGGCAAATCACCGTCCACGGTCATCTAAGCCCTAATCAAGAACCCTAGAATCGTCATGGTGTAAGATTCAAAGGCGGGAAGTCAGTCAGTCAAGACACGGAAGAGTTAAATTCTTTGCTGGGGTTTAGCAAACCGTAAAAGTCAAACACACGAGCACTGCTGGTCTAGTGGTAGAATAGTACCCTGCCACGGTACAGACCCGGGTTCGATTCCCGGGCAGTGCAGATCACTGTTTTAAAGTTTGTTTTTTCTATATATGTTCTGACATCTGGGCCGTCAAATGATGGACGGTTGTCGGTGCCGCTAGATTTTAAATTCATTGGTACGTTAAATTGCTTGCCCACAAACCCTAATGAAGCCCTAGATTGCAGAGGGCTTTGAGAGGGATGCGGCAAGAGGCGCCTGGCACGACAAGCGCGGGACGGCGCTGCTGATCTTCTCGGCGCTGCGATTTCAGCGATGGCCGACATGCTGGCATCTGGTACGTTTTGAAAATTTTCTAGATCTGGAAATCCTGGGATCAGCTCGTTCTTAGCTCAATCCGCTATGCATTCGCAATTTCTGATCTAGAGATTTGGTCATGAATTGGATTCTCTCAGCAATGCGTTTTTTTATCAGTCGTCAAGCTTGATTTTTTTCCTAGCTCTGACCTTGTGTCTGTTATCAGGACCATCTGGTGGCCTCTTCCGAGAGACTTCCATAATTTCCGTGGAGCTTGAATCGGGAGAAGTCTACATAGTCGCCAGCCTCGCGAGTAGAAGGGACACTCAACTTATTTATGTCGATCCTACCTCCGGAGCTCTTCGGTACACTTTCCAGGACCAGTTTGACAACTTCCAGACCGACTCGGAGGCTATCAAGTTCGTGACGGCGGGTTCGCGATGGCTGATCAAGAACAAAGTTTACGCGCGGGCAATACTCGGATACGCAGTCTATGGCTGCGTTGGGCTGCTCGTGCTGGCCACCAAAGTTCGAGCTTCCATCAAGGATATGCCTGGAGGTGACACAGTCTACACTGTTATGGAGAGCCAGTGGGTGAAGATCCCGCTCAGGAATCCTCAGCCTCAGTCGAAAGCCGAGCTGAAGAATGCGAGCGACTTGCTGGACATCGCCATCGACGGAATGCACTTCTACTGCGAGACGAGAGACGTCACCAGGCCGTTTCCCAGTGACATCTCCGTGCACGATCCGGACCTCGAGTTTGCGTGGAACGTTTGGTTGACATCGCCTTTCAAAGACATCGGACTTCACCATCACTGTGTAGTCCTTTTGCAGGTCTCATCTTGTTTTCTGTGGTTGTTTGCTTGTCTTAGGATCTCTTTTTCTCTATGAAGTTACTGAAACGGTCTTGTTGTACAGGGTCTTGCAGATAGTCGGACGTTTGTCGATGCCAAAGGGCAGTATGCAACTGTAGCAATAACAGCGAGGAGGAGTCGTCTACATCCTGGAACTCGCTATCTAGCACGCGGGCTTAATGCTGCGTATAGCACTGGTAAGTTTTTCTCTGTTTCTTCAGCATCGTACTGATTTTTCCTCAGGTAACGAGGTCGAGTGTGAGCAACTCATTTGGCAACCTGGAGCTTCTCCTGGGCCAGTTCCGTTTAGCACATACTTGTGGAGACGAGGCACAATACCGATATGGTGGGGCGCCGAGATAAAATCAACAGTCTCAGAGGCCGAAATCTATATCGCTGAGACGGATACATACAAGGGGTCGGCACACTATTTCAAGAGGCTTCTTTACAGATATGGCCAGATCGGCGATAAGAATCCCGTTCCTATCGTCTGCGTCAACCTTCTCAGGGGAGCTCTAGGAAAGTCGGAGGTTCCATTGCTTCAACACTTCCAAGATTGCGTCGATCAGCTAAACTCGAGAAAGGAGATACCCGAAGCAAAGCTGTGGCTATTGAACTACGACTGGCATGCAAACATAAAGCTGATAGGCGATGCCCGGACCGTGGATGGTCTATGGCAATTACTCCAGGCTCCAACAATGGACGTAGGCTTTAAGCTGGGGACTTACGTTCCTACTGCTGACAAGAGCCGGGCCTCTATCACTCCCGGGGTCCGAGGTGGAGGATGGAGGATAACAGACAGGCAACGGGGCATTATTCGTTTCAACTGCGCTGATTCTTTGGATAGAACAAACGCGGCTAGTTTTTTTGGAGCTGTACAGGTTTTTTCGGAGCAGTGTAGAAGACTCGGAATAGATTTAGATTCGGACAGGTCCATCCAGCCTCAGATATCGAGTTCGAGAGTATCGCTTGGCCCGCTCCCTCCTGGCTGGGAGAAGAGGAAAGATGCAGTCACAGGACAGGTGTTTTATATCGACCACAACACTCGGACTACTACCTGGGACCATCCGTGTCCCGACGAGTCATGGCGGAGATTCAGCATGACCGCAGACGAGTTCAAGCTGGCCACTTTAGGTGCTCCTGTGTCGATGATGGCGGAGCTTTTCCTTCTCGCAGGCGACATACATGCGATGCTTTACACCGGGTCTAAGGCAATGCACAGTCACATTCTTCAAATTTTTAGCGAAGACGCAGCCAAGGCTAAACGAACCGGAGCCGCTCAGAACGTGGCAATAACGCTCCAGCGGAGATATTTGAACGTGCTCGTGGATAACACACGGCAAAAGCAGCTCGAGATGTTTCTGGGAATGCATCGATATCAGCATTTTCCTTCCATACCGGAGAGGCCCATTCAGGTTCGGAATTTCATCACGCAAAAATCTTTTAGAATAAGGAGAAATTTATCAGGTTTTTGCAGATACTTTCAAGATCGTACGCATTCTTGCTGAAGCCAGTGCCTAGTGCCTTCCCCAGTCTTTATATCCCCGACTCGCTCATTAACGTGAAACATAAAGACTTGATATGGGTATGTTGTTCTCTGGCAACAGAAACTTTCTTTTTCTTACTTTCATTGCTTTCAGGTCTGCCCTTCAGCTGCAGAATTTGTGCAGTTTTATATTTTTCTTTCAGAACCTTGTCACGTATGCCAACTCCTGTTAACTGTTGGCCATGGAATGGAGGATATGTCATCCCCAACGTCTTTTGATGTTCGAACTGGACGTCAGATTGATGAAATGAAGCTAGTTCTAGAGGTATTTGCGTTTTCTTTTTCATCTTTTTTCGCTAATGTAAACCTTTGACAGGGAGCAAACATACCTCGCTGTGCTGCTGGAACGACGCTATTGTATTCCCTTCCAGGTGCGATAAATCCGGAAGAAGGAGCTATCACTGGTGCAGGACATTTCCCTTGGCTTTACGACTACGAAGAACAAGAGGGTGAAGTCGACTTCTTGACGCGCTTTGTGGCCGTCACATTTTATCCTGCAGCACCAGGCGTTCCTATCACTCTTGGAGAGGTATGGATGAGATAAATTACAATAGCTTAGTAGAGTTGCTGACGCTCTCGTCCACAGGTTGAAGTTCTAGGAATCCCTCTCTTTCGGAATAGCATCTGGAACAACAGAGTGACACCTGAAAGCTCCGGGAATGAAACTCCCGGCTTCATTGACAGTTCACCATCACCTGGTAGCGCAAACTATGGGTTTGATTTACTCACTGGCGACATCGCTATGCCTCCGCCACCCCCCGCCGCGAGGCTGCAAAAGGCAGCCTCTACAAGATTCGTACAAGCCGGAGACATGGCCGCACAACAGTATAGAGAGCATCTCCACCAGTTCTGTGGTGGTAACTTGGTAGGCCACTAGTACTCTCCAGTTTTTATAGAAGTTCTAACTTGTTCTTTTCAGGCAAAGAATTTCAATTACACGGAAGCTATGGAGCTGGAAATCATACGCCTCCGCCTCGGCCTCTCGGCAGCCATGAGGGACCGAGTGCTCTTGGATTCCGGAAAAGACCCCGCGCTTCTAAATCCCAATGGACTTGTGAGTCCGGCCAACTTGACTTCTCTCCGGCAGGCAGCAGTCCAGCTCGCGATACTGAGCCAAGTTATCACCGAAGACGAGGAGCTCCGAGCCATCGGGTTGGTCCCTCCCAGCCAGAGAGGCGGCGATCCATACAGCAGGGACCAAGCGACGTGCTCTCACGCCGACTGCGAGGTGGTGATGATGAGAAAAGGAAGCATGGTCCAGGGCGCGTCGACGGTGACGACCATCTCTTCGTGCAACTCCTGCAACAAGAAAGTTTGCGGATCCTGTGTGGCTGGCAGAGGGACTGCTCTCGTAGGAAACTTGCAGCAGGCTGTGCTGGGAGGCAGTGCCGCACAGGGTGTTGTCCGCGGCCGGGCTTCTCTGGACGCTGCGCTTTGCAAGAAATGCGTCCATCCTCTGGTGCACCAGGCGATACTTCTCTACACGCTGAGGCAGCTGCTCTACGCGCACAAGAAGAAGCGCTTCAAGTCGGCGGTGCTAGCGGCTCTTCAGGACTGTAAGATGCTGGGCAGCTCTAAAGATGGTGGCATTCCCAACGTCAAGAACTTGCTGCGAGGAGAGACGTCTCTGGCGGAGTATCCGGAATCCACACTTCTTTTCTCGGTAAGCTGCCGCTCTTGCGATTTAGAAAGACATAGAAAAGTTCTTATGCTGCTGAGTTTTTTCAGGTCCATTCCGATAGAGGATCCGAGCCAGCCACATCGCTCATAAGCACGCGATCCAGCTTCAACACTATGTCATACTGGAGGGCTCCGCCAGGACTGCCGAGCGTCGAATTCAGCATCGTTCTTGGCCAGCCTTCTTCCGTTACTGGCATCATTTTGCTCGTGAGCCCGTGTGGTTACACAGCCCAGGATGCTCCAACGGTAAGTCGACTGCTCTATAGGAATGTGGCTTATTGCTGATTCTCCGCAGGTTGATATATGGTGTGGAAGCGTTGTCACGGAAACCGAGCGTGTTTACGCTGGAAGGTGGGAGTTTGGTTCCGCCGGAGGCACTCCACAGCAGCAGCTTATCGGACCAGAGAGAGACCCGGCCAACCCTCGGCATATGGTCTTTAGATTCCGGAGTCCCGTGAAGTGCCGGCTTGTATGGCTCAGGCTCTCGCTTCCCAACGCGGCAAACATGGCTCGTCCTTCATCCGCAGCAACCTTGACGCAGTCTTTCGATCTTCTCAGCTTTGATAACCCCGTCCAACCTCAGAATGGAAGACTGGGCCAGAGGTTGGGCTCTGCACAGGCTGCAGCTACGCCTCGGTTGCACGCCAGAAGAATCATCGTTACTGGTCGGAAGGTACTGGATGATCCGGAGGTGGTAGCGAGTCCACAAGCACCGGAGAAGAGTGCTTGGAAGAGCATGCTGGAGACGCCTGCTCGATATGGACGGCTCAAGGTAGAAAGAATTTCTAGAGTTTGCTCTCCTCTGACAAGTTGATATAGGTCCAAGTTGATGGAGAACGGCTCAGTGAAAGCGGAAGGGTGATAGAGCAGATGATCTCTTCTACTGTCCCAAACGTTGCGGGCTTCCGACTGGACGCTCTTGTCGCACTTCGAAACATTGCGAAGCAGAACTTCGTCAGCAGCCAGCCAAAGTCGCTGGATGCTGCGCTGGATTCCATGGACGAGTTCCTCATCAGCCCGGCCGTGCTTAGCATCCGTGTCACTGCTCTCCAGGTAAAACTCTACGAATTGTTGCAGAGCGTTCTAACCTCCTATCTTTTCTTCCTTCGCAGAGCTCGTCAGATCGATGTGTCCCAGTCGCGAACTACATTCTGCCAATGGCCAGAGTTGGCACCCCGCTCTACTTCGACTTCCCCATGCCGATCGAGGCCAGAGCTCTCTACTTCGAGCTCACCGGCAACATCTCCGTCTTCATGGAGGAAGAACCAGAGACCGACGCTAAAGAGGTTCCACTCCCAGCGGGCCTCTCGCTTTCCAACAAGATCCGACTGTACCGCTACGCTCTCGCCGTGGAACTTGGAAAGTGGCCGCAGCTCTACGCGATCTAAGTAGAGATTTTTCCCATAGCCGAGCGAAGGACGGAAGTTTTCCACCCCCTGTGAAGCTAGCCGCTTCTACTGTTTGTGCGATATAAAGTTTTCGTTTTTCTTGAATGTAAGCTCTTGTTGATATCCAGCTTCACTTCCAGAACTACTGCCATCTTTTCTCTTGAATGTAAGTTCTCGTTGAAATCCAGCTTCACGTCCCTGTGATCTAGAACTACTACCATCTAAGTTTTCGTTTCTCTTGAATGTAAGTCTTTGTTGACCTTTCCATGTTGCTATCTGGAACTAATACCATCTATCTAGCTTGATCCAGATTCTAGTCCATTACTCGAATGCCACTGGAGTAACCAAGGATTTCCCTGAGAAGTGAGCTTCCAGATTTCTTACCACTAAATCCCCCATCGCCCGCCTGGTATCCCAAGTACCACTCCCTACGTGTGGTAGCAACACGACGTTATCCATCCCAAGGAGCTCCTGTGGTACCTGTGGCTCCTCCTCAAACACGTCCAATCCAGCCGCCCCCAACCTCTTGTCCACCAGCGCCTGGACGAGCTCGGCCTCGTCCACGATCGGCCCCCTCGCGATGTTTACCAGCGTCCCCTCCGGACCCAATGCGTCGATCACTTCCCTGCTCACGAGATGGCGAGTCTCTGGCGTTAGCGCGCACGCGACGATGAGAGCGTCGGAGTCTCGCGCTAGATCCACCAGGCTGGAGTAGTGGGCGTAGGGAACTCCGGGCTTCTTCTCGCGGGAGGAGTAGGAGATTGCGCAGCTGAATCCCTCGGCGCGCTTGGCGATGGCGGAGCCGATCCTGCCCAGCCCCACGATCCCGATGCGCTTTCCACTCACCTGCGAGGAAGAGAAAGAAAGAATGACTGTCGCTAGAGGAAAATATTTCGATCGATCATCCACAAGATGAAGCCATGGATCACGCAGCAAGAACTAGATCGATCGACTGGCACCGCAAGAACAAACATCTGTCAGGAATGTCGAGCATGCGATGGAAAAGACGATTCCACAAGCAAGGAATAGAAAATTTCCCTTGTGTGAGAGGGAGAAATAACAAGAGGCCATGGATCACGCAGCAAGAACTTGATCGATCACTGGCACCGCAAGAACGAAAATTTCCAGGAATCGAGAGCTTTACCTTGTGTGAGAGGGGGAAATCTCCATGGACCGGCCACAATCCCTCGCGAACATAGCGATCCGCCGGGCAGATCCGCCGCATTGTCCCCAGCAGCAGCGCCATTGCGAGATCGGCCGTCTCGTCCGTGAGCACATCGGGCGTGTTTGTGACCGCCACGCCGCGCTCCTTGCACTTTTTGAGGTCGATCTTGTCCAGCCCCACGCTGAACGACGACACGATCTCCAGCCGCGGCAGCGCATCGATCACCGCCGCCGACGCCTCGAACTTGTGATTGACGACCAGCGCTTGAATCTGGCCCGAGTGCTGCCGCAGCATCGCGCCGGGATCCTCCGCCTGCCAGAGCCGCAGGAGTCTGAACTTGGAATCCAGCGCTAGTTCGAGATCGGGGAGCATTGGCACGGCCATGAGCACGACTGGACTCGCCATAGCCAATCACGCCCAAAAGCTCAAGAGCCCTAAAAAACCGGGTAATATTTTAGGGTTCTAGCGGTCAAAATGGAGGAGCCCAGCATTGAGGAGCTCGTCGACGCTGGCCTTGGCCACGAGGAGGCGCGATCTTTCCACTGGAAGCTCAATCAATCGCTGCGAGCATCCGGTGAGTCTCCGTCGAGCATCTGGAGGTCGCTATCGAAGAATGTGCTCGCTCCATCGCATCCATTTCGGCTCCATCAGCTCCTCTATCACTCTTGCTACAAAAATTGGGACTCTGCGAGGCTTGGTCCGCCTCCAGTGTGGATTCCCTCCTTGTAAGTGAAGCAAATTTCTTCTCTTCTTTACTCTCATTCTCTGCGCGACACAGAGCCCAGGCAAAATCCACGAATTTGGGAAGAACGATGGACACTTACGGCAGAGATCTCTTCGGCTGTTCTTTCTTTGATCCGATCACGAACTTCGCCGAGTTCCAGCGATTCTCGGTTGAAAATCCAGACGTAAGTTTGTCTCGTGGAGCGTGTTCTTTGTAACGTTTCTTAATTTTCCAGGTTTATTGGAGGATTGTTCTCCAGGAGCTTGAGATTCCTTTCGTGGAGCAACCTTCGCGAATCTTAGACATGGAAAGAAATGAGATTGATGGTGAGCCATGTCCCGGGGGTCAATGGCTTTGTGAAGCTACGCTCAATGCCGCTGAATGCTGTTTCCAAGAGAGCCGATGTAGAAAATCTTTCAACACTGCCATTCTTTGGAGAGACGAAGGTGACGACACAGGTTTGAATTCACTCACACTAAGCGAACTCCGATCACAATCCTGGTATCCTTTTTTGTCAGCTCTTGTTTTTCTTGGACTAATCTTTGATGGATTTATTTTTTCTTGTAGTAGAGTGGCAAACTCTTTGGAACGATTGGGTTTCTCGAGTGGCGATGCTGTTGCTATCAACATGCCAATGACTCCAGTGTCAGTCGTTGTCTATCTCGGGATTGTGCTTTGCGGATGCGTGGTTGTCTCCATTGCTGACAGCTTCTCTTCCTCGGAAATCGAGACCAGGCTAAACATTTCCAAAGCAAAAGCGATCTTCACTCAGGTCGGTCTTGTCTGAAAAGATTATGCTATAGTAACAAAAGACCGTGCTTGCAGGATGTTATTGTTCGAGGAGGGAAAGATCTTGCTTTGTATACGTAAGTCAAATTCCAAAGCATTTACTCGTCCGTCTCAGTGTCTTCATTGCAGTCGAGTTGTGGACGCCAACGCTCCTCGAGCTTTTGTAATTCCTGGAAAGGCGGCGGCTTTGACAGTGGAACTTCGCAGCAACGATATGTCATGGGATGAGTTCTTGGCAGTGTCCACGGGCCTTGCTCGGTAAATTCATCTCTTCGGTTTAGTTGTTAGCAAACTATCGTATAGCGGCTTTTGACAGGCGACAGGAGTATAAAGGCGTTGCTCAGTCAGGCGAAGCGTTCTCAAACATTCTGTTTTCCTCGGGTACCACAGGTACACTTACATACACTATACGACCAAGTTGTATGCTTTTTCTCTTTTACTTCTAGGTGATCCGAAAGCTATACCTTGGACGCATTTAACACCAATCAAGGCTGCTGCGGATGGCTGGGCACATCAGGATATACGAAGTCGTGATGTTGTTGCTTGGCCAACGAACTTGGGGTGGATGATGGGGCCTTGGCTCGTTTATGCGACTCTTGTTAACGGTGCTACTATAGCTCTCTACAACGGGTCCCCTTTAGGCCGTGGCTTTGCAAAGTTCGTCCAAGTAAGAGTTCATGCTCTTTGAACTTGTTTTACACTCGAGCTATGGTTTTTAACAGGACGCTAAAGTAACAATGCTGGGTGTTGTGCCTAGCATTGTCAGAAATTGGAAGACAACAAAGTGCCTGGATGATATTGACCTCTCACATATAAGGCGAGAACATCCTTCTGATTTATGGTCTTAAAGGTTGCTTTCTTCAGATGTTTTAGCTCAACTGGCGAGGCATCGACAGTAGACGATTACCTTTGGCTCATGAGCAAGGCTTCTTACAAGCCTGTCATTGAATATTGCGGGGGTACTGAAATCGGTGGCGGTTTTGTCACGGGCTCACTTCTGCAACCTCAAGCTCTAGCGAGTTTTAGCACTCCTGCCATGGGATGTGATGTTTTCATTCTGGACGAAGCCGGAATTCCTCTGGTAAGTGCTCTCTTATTGTGGATGCTATAATGTTTTCTTAAACTTTGCTTTGCTCGCAGCCAAGCGAAATGCCTGGTATCGGTGAATGTGCTCTTGATTCTTCGATGCTAGGAGCTTCACGCATCTTACTGAATGCCAACCATTTCAACATCTACTTCAAAGGAATGCCAAAACACAATGGAAAGGTAGATGATCAAAGGAAAACCAAGTATTTATCTTACGGCACATTTTCTTAGACGTTACGGAGACATGGAGACGAGTTCGAGCGTACGCCAGGAGGCTTTTACAAAGCCCATGGCAGAGTGGACGATACAATGAACCTGGGAGGCATCAAAGTAAGCTCTATATCTTCTTTTTTCTTCTCGTGGATTTTGTTTTTGTTTTCCAGGTGAGCTCCGTTGAAATCGAGCGCATTTGCAACGCAGCAGATCAGAGAGTCCTGGAGACCGCCGCAATCGGTGTCTCTCCAACGGGAGGTGGGCCGGAAAAACTTTGCGTAATTGCCGTTCTCAAAGCCGAAGTGACCGACAAAACTGACATTTCTTCCGAGCTCAAGCTAAGATTCAATGCTGCCATCCAACGAAAACTAAATCCGCTGTTCAAGGCAAGTGCCATCCTCGCGTTTTTCTCGAAAGTTCTCATTTTTCTCGCATTTCCCAGGTCGATTCAGTAGAAATCGCTGGTTCCCTTCCTAGAACAGCTTCAAACAAGGTGATGCGAAGAACTCTTCGAAGCCAATCCACTAAACGCACGTCATTGTTATAAGAGAAGGTAAATTGCTTGCTTCTCTCTCCATTGTTTGTCTCTAAAAGCTTCCCTTTTTGTTATTTTTTTGGCCAGGACGAACTCAAAGAAAGTGGCGCCAAGGAGACGAATATGCCAATGCATCTCCTGTGAGGAATATACATTTAACATCTGGCATGCTTTGCTAGGGGCTAGGGTTTGATTTGTCGTCGGTGTGGGATCGGTGCTGTGAGAGCGCGATTTGGCGCTGGGATGGGAGAGTAGAAGCGCGCAAATGGAGGAGACGGATTCTCCAGCGAAGACATGGGGAGACGTGATTACATCGTCTTGGCGCCGTAAGTTTTTGAGCGGCATTGCGTTCTACATTTCTAAGTTTTTTGCAATTTCCAGGGAAATCCTCGACTGAAGCTAAGGCCGAGGCTGAACCAAGTGAGTCTGAATCGACAAGCCAAGAACAAATCACAAGCAATGAAGCTGGTTTGTATCCTCTCCTTTTTGTTTTCTTTGTTTCTCTTGTAAGATGGAAGCTGTTAGGAGGAGGAGATATCCGTGATTCTGCGAGTAAGTCCCTGCAAGAAGAAAAAGAGAACGAAGATAAAGCGGGGGAGAGTGGAGAAGCTCCAGCAAAAACATGGGGAGACATGATCTATCCTTCGACTTGGAGACGTAAGTTTTTCCTTTTGGAAAAATTAGAGTTTTGAATTTCAAATGGCTCAGCTTGTTACAGGTAAATCTAGAGACGACTCGGAGCTTACGAAAGAAGTGTTACAAGAGGAGCCCATTCCAAAAAACCGGCCACGTGATGAGAAACTCAAGGGGAAATCCGATGGCACCAAAGATGCGAACCAGGTGCCTGCGAAAACGTGGGGAGAGATGATCCATCCCGCTCTTGCTTGGAGGAGTAAGTTCTTATTCTATTTAGCTCTTGTGTTCATTCGAGAGAAAATGTTTTTCAGGGAAGTCCAAAGATGGTACTGAGCCAAGTGAAGCTGTGGAAGCAGCAGCGCAAGAAATTGATGACTTAGAGCTCAAAGAAACTAGTGACGATGTTCCTCGAGCAGCAGAAGGCACGCTTACTGCTGTAGCAGCAAGCATAAAGAGAAGCATTGCTGGCATGAGTCGATGGAGCATGGCAGATCTTACGCTGGGTCTGTATAAATTGTCTGGTCGACATGCTCTTGAGGGTGCTGCTGACACCATCAATGGCTCCCGTGTTTCGTCTTTGTGAGTCGTTTGCTTTATTGTATGCCTTCGTAAGCTAACTTTCAGGATTGCAGGGAAGAGCTTCTAGAGATCCAACATTGGTTTGGGTGGGCGTTTGCTGCCTATAAGAAAAGCAAGGAGAAGCTTGCCAAAGACTTGAAGGTCTGTTCTTGTTTTACAGAAATTCTTATCGCAGTGGCTTTTTTTTTTCAGATAGAAGAGACGCAAATTATTAAGCATGTCTTTACTTCTGGAGTTTTAAAGCCTGCGTATTTTATTGCTGTTGATAATGTTAGACATTGTGTAGTGATCAGCATCCGGGGAACTTTGGCTGCTACAGATGTTTTGACCGATTTGAATCCTCACAGTGAGAAATTTGAGGGTGGGTAAGTTGTTTAGCTTTCTTATCAATAACTCCGATTTTAAACAATGTTTGCCTCTTTTACTCGTTTGCAGATATGCTCATTCCGGAATGCTTGCTGCAGCTCGCTGGCTTATGGATAATGAAACTACTTGTTTGAGAGATCTTCTTGTGGCAAATCCGGTAACTAGCTCGAACTTAAGTTTCCATAGGCTGTGATCTTATGTTTCTTGTTATCAGGAGTACCGTTTTGTTCTTGTCGGGCATTCCCTGGGTGCTGGAACAGCCGCATTGCTTTGCATGCTCTTGCGGGACTGTGATGGTGGAAGCGTAGGACCTCTTTCGAGGCTTGGCATACCTCCTTCGTGGATTACATGCTGGGGTTATGGATGCCCTCCTTGCGTCGATAAGAGGCTAGCTGAAGAAGCGGGTTTCATCAGGAACATTGTTCTTCAGGTTCATGTGCTTTGTTTTTATATTCTGTCTAAAGTTTGCCTTTTCAGGACGATGTCGTTGCTCGAATAAGTCCTGGAGCTCTAGAAGACTTGCGATCCGAAATATTGGGAACAGACTGGTAAGATAACGTTCCATGTTCTTGAAATTTACTTGCTAGGATGTGATTAACAGGAGCCAGGCATTTAAAGATGGTAGCAAAGGGAAGAAAATGTTGGAGCTGGCTCAGGGGACACTGCCAGGCGTGGCAATGAAATATGGCCAGGCTGCCTTGGTGGTAGCAAGGTCAGGGGCTCTGGCCGGGACGAAGATACACAAAGCTGCAAACTGGTTCACAGTTGGAATGGCGGCAGCGGAGCTTCTGCGCTCGGCTTCGACATATAGAGGCAAGCTCTTTTATTTCCTCTCTTTCTCCTAGTTTTACTCAAGCGACACCTATGCCAGGAGTGTCCACGACTGAAAACGGAGACGTAGATGATGACGTCGACGAGAAAGATTCTGAAGTCGCAGCGGCAACCTTGGCAGCAAATGTGGCTGAGACAGTAAAAGACCCGAAGGAAGCCATGGAAATGGAGAGACTCTACGTGCCGGGACTTCTCTATCACATTCTTCGCAAGCCACTCCAGCCCGAGCTATTACTTGAATCGGCATTGCCAGCAGCAGCATCATCAGACGATGAAAATCAAAGGAGTGAGAGTCAAGAGACAAGCCGAAGAGCTAGCAAGAGCTCTCCCAAGCAAAAGACGAAGCAGCCCCAGTTCCAACACATTGTTGTTCGCGGTGACGATCCAACGTCGAGGTTTAAGAGGATTGTGCTGTCCAGCACACTCTTGTCCGACCATGGCTGCCATCAGTACAAGGAAAGCATTCAGGATGCAGTTACATGGATAGAGAGCGAGTGATTCTCGTGCGATTATATATAAGCGATTCAGTGATTTATAAATCAATACCAATGTTTGTGACGTTAACAATATCCATTAGGTTTCAAAACTGTAATAAAAGGTGTTTTTATCAGTATTATTAAACAATAAAAAGTACTAAATAAACACTATAAAAGTAATTCTTTTTTAAGCTAAATAAAACGATATAATGAATATTATATCGTTTTTAATATTTATAGTTCCTCTGAGTTTCATAAGTGTTTATGGAACAAATAGAGGTGAAACTTTTTGGAATGAAAATATGATAGTTAGTAGTGAAAGTATGGATAGAATTATTGAAGGATTTAATAACCTTATTAGTAGTATTGATTCATCAAGTCCATATAAAATAAATTGGTTTGATGTAGTTTATATTCCTCTTAATATTGGAACAGCTGTTGTAAAAATAGGGCATTTTTATGGTCAAGAACCATTTTGTAAATCAAGTTCAGCAAACGGAGAAGTTTCTGGTCATGTTATGAAAACATCAATATCTAGATTATTAAGGAGATATGAAACTATAATACTTAAAAAATGTGCAGAATATGTTTTAATAAAATCTGTAAGTTATGCTATTTCTTATTCATTTGATGGTATTTCAGAACCTGATGATGAACATTCTCAATCTCAATTAGTAACTCAAATAAACTTTTATTGTGATTTTACTAATAGTGTTTTAATAAGTGCTTCAAGAGGTAAACCTTTTCAGTTTATCAAAAGTGATCAGTTTTTGGTATCCACTAATAAGAAAATAGTTTTACTTTTACAAAGAACATGTAATCTTGTTTTATTTTTTAAAAGATCTATTATTTGGGAAACAAATACATTCATAAGTAATGCAATCACATGCACACTTGAATTACAAAACGATGGCAATCTTGTTATTTATTCAACTACAAAATCACAAAAGAACTTGGTTGTTTGGGCAATCAATAAATATTGTCAGCAACAACCAAATTGTATTTTGGCTTCATTTTTAATTGTTCAAGATGACTGTAATCTAGTAGTTTATAATGCAAAATCCCCAAATAATCCACGTTGGGCAACAAATACATTATGTAAATAAACTTAAGGCTTTATCTCTTAAATTGAGTTATTATTGTGAAGTTGTATGAAGAAAATTTACTCTCATATTAATTCGAATTAAGTTTATTAATAAGATAAACTTACATTCTAATTAGAATAATAGATTTCATGTTATTTATAATAAAGTAATTCTTATTTCATTCTAGGGCTCTAGGAATGCATATCTCCTCCTGGAACAATGTGGGACGGAGGATGGATTTCAGTACCGCCGCCGGAAATTCCATGGCGGATGAGCGGGGCTTCCCGGCCCTTGCCAGTAAGCCGACACTGGGGCGAGCCAATCCCTTCGCCAGACACGGCATTGGTACTGTCTGTGACGAGCAAGCGATGAAGAGCTTGCCTCCACTGCTCGGGAAGCCGCCAAAAATTCTCGCCGAGGAAGAAAAATGTGGCAAAGAAGAAGCGAAAGATATTGGTAAGCTTTCTAGCTCATCGGCACTGATTGCCTCAGAAACAACAAAAAAAGCTTTCAATTGTTTGCGCAGTGCATTCTGCGAAGTTGGAAAGTGGGGTGGGAAAGATTTTTGTTGGCAATCTTCCCTATGGTGCGACAAAGGAGAAGGTTGTCGAGCTTTTCTCTCGTTTTGGTCCGGTGAGGGATGTTATCTGGATCCGCAGCCACGATCATCCCGAGAGGAACAAAGGCTTTTGCTTTGTTTACTACGGAAGCTCCAGTCCAGGAGCTTGTGCACTTAAAGCTGCAGAGGTTGATGGGGTGGAATTCGAGGGAAAAAGGTTGGCTATCAAACTAGACGATGGAAGAAAATCACGTCAAAAGGGAGAGGAAGAATATGGAGACTGCTCGGATGAGCCTGCTGCTCAAAGATTCCGCGAGACCATGGAAATTGACGCTGGAAACTGGCATAAGATTGTCAACGCTTTTCAAGTGATCGACAAGGTACTGTTTTTCTTGTTCTCTTTTTAGTTCGCTTTTTTCCAACTTTCTTTACAGCCAGTGTTACGAGAGTATGGGCTTTTGGTCGATTTCTATGCAAGACATGGTGACAAAGTTGCTGCACGAGCAACTTTTGAAGCTATGCGAGCTTCTCACATCAAGCCCAATGTTCATATCTACACGAGGTACGCGTCTTGTTAGTGAAACCAGAAGGACTCTTTTGTCTTTCAGTTTGATTCATGCTTATGCAGAAGCTAGAGACATGGAAGGGGCTGTAGCGTGCACTGAAGAAATGCTTTCCCAAGGCATACAACTCAATGAAGCAGTATTCTGCTCGATCATATCGGGATATGCAAGTGCTGGAAATAACGAGTACGATTCTCGCACTGAGGCAAGGCTTGCTGCTCTTACAGCGTGACCATTTTTGCAAGGGCTGCAGAACATTGGTTTGAGAAATTCAAGGCCGAAAATCTCGTTCCTGGTGGGATCGTCTACAACAGTATAGTCCAAGCATATTGGTAACCCTCTTTGTTTCTTTCTAGGTTGGTGCTCTTTGACGAGTTTTCTCGATACAGTCAAGCTGGGAACATGGAAACGGTGGAAGCTTTATTAGCACAAATGGAAGAGGAAGGATTTCAAGGAAACTTGGGATTATACACCACAGTGCTTAATGGTTTTGCGGAGATACGTGACGAAGAGAAGTGTCTTAGTTTCTTTCACAGATTGAAGGTGAGTCCTGTGACTTGATA